GAGGCGGGCTGATGTTTGTTCAATACGTGGCTCCGAGCCTCACTGGGCCCAAGCCTCACATTGACACGTCCAACATGGGTCCGGAAAGATGGCTCGATGCCCACAGCTGTGCAAAACCGACAGCGGCCGCAGTTGGGCAAGCGACCTTCTGTCTCAAATGGACAACCTCTACCGCAACACCGACAACAAATCCTGCTCAAAGTGGAAAAGATCTGCTGCCAGTCTTTGCCCGAACTCTTTCCGTACAAATTTCGGTCGTGCCGATCTACCGGGTTCTTGCAGTTCAATGCGCCGTCCGATTCGGGACCACTGCCAGCAAATGTCTGAGATCGGACTGCTCTTGCTCAATGCGCGGTCCCGGACCTCTCGAATCCTCATCCTCCCTGGTAGCTTCGTGGCCCTGGGGCCCAGAGGCGGCCCCCAGAGGCCGACATTGAGGACACCTCCAGGGTTGACGCAATCAGGAGCTCTCCAGAAGAGAGACGGGCGTACCTCTCGGGGCGGACGAAAGGGGAGATAGCAAAGGAGGGTTAGCGGATCAGCTAACGCAGCTGGTTCCTCCAGCGCCTCCAGCGTCAGAGGCGCCAATGCAGGAACGAGAGCGCCAGGCGGAGGGGCCGAAGCCACCTGCACACAGCAACTTTCGCAGCCCCCCCCCTTTCTTAATGCCCCCATTTCGCCCGCGAACCTCCTCATGCCCCTCCTGCGAACTTCCTCATGTCCCTCCTCCTACTGCCGTAGAACTTCTCCTCCTCCTCCTCCTCCGCCTGCTCCTCCTCCGCCTCATCCTGCTCCTTGTGTTTGGCATTCGGGGGGGACCCTGTTCGCCAGGTCTGGGTGTGCCCCAGGTTGCTAGCCAAAACGCGCTTCACGGCGCGGGGGTGAGCAAGGAGCGAAAAGTTTGGGAGCGAGGAGCGACATGGGAGGGCAGCGGAGGGAGGGAGGCGGGGATGGAGGGAGGACGGAGGGACGCAGCGGGAATGAGAGGCCTCCTCAAAATCCTCCACAATTACTCAATATGAATACTACTCTCCTCCTTCCCCTGATGACGGGTTGGGAGTGTTCGCCCCCCCCCCCCCGCGTATTGTTTTTTTGCACACAGGATTCCCCGGAGTTGGGTTTTCGCCTGCATTTTTTCCAAAATGCTGCTCTCGCTGAGGCGCCGGCCTCATTTTCGGGCCCCGCTCGTTCCGAATCGTGCTCCCGCTGCAGCGCTGGCCTCATTTCCGTGCTTCCGCTCGTTCCGAATCGTGCTCCCGCTGCAGCGCTGGCCTCATTTCCGCGCTTCCGCTCGTTCCGAATCGTGCTCCCGCTGCAGCGCTGGCGTCATTTCCCGTGCCATGCCACGGCATGCAATGCAATGCTAGGTTGCGTTCTGCTGCGCGATGCCATGCCTTCAGCTGACGCTGTGATATGCAGTGCTTAAGTGCCACGTCGTGCTATGACATGCTACGCTTTGATCTTCAACGCCATGCTATGCAATGTTATGTTCGGGGCCGCTGTGCGATGCCATGCTTTGCGTTGCAAAGCTTTGTGATGCAATTCTTCACTACGCCACGCCACGCCATGCTGTGACATACTACGCTTTGCGGTGCTCTTCTCCGCCATGCCATGCCGTGCTCTACAATGCATCGCGTACCCTTTCGGGATCATTGCCCTGCTCGACCTCCGACTGTGCGAGTACAGAGGGGATCTACGCTATGGTAAGGGATGGGCACCGACGCGAGCGCACCTAGCTTGCCCTCTCCCCCTCCCCCTCCCCCTCCCCCTTCTCCTCCTCCTCCTCCTCCTCCTCCTCCTCCTCCTCCTCCCCCTCCTCCTCCTCCTCCTCCTCCTCCTCCTCCTCCTCATCACCCTTATCCTCATCCTCACCCTCCTCCTCCTCCTCCTCCTCCTCCTCCTCCTCCTCCTCCTCCTCCTCCCCCCCACCCTCATCCTCATCCTCATCCTCATCCTCCGCATCCTCCTCATCCTCCTCATCCTCCTCATCAGCATCATCAGTATCATCATCATCATCAGCATCAGCATCAGCATCAGCATCAGCATCATCATCATCATCGTCAACATCATCTTCATCATCATCATCATCATCAGCATCAACATCAGCATCAGCATCAACATCAACATCAACATCATCATCATCATCACCACCATCATCATCATCATCATCATCATCATCATCATCATCATCATCCGAATCAGCATCATCAGCATCATCAAGAGCATCATCAGCATCATCATCGTCATAAGCATCATTAGCAGCATCATCATCAGCATGAGCATCATCATCATCATCATCAACATCATCATCATCATCATCATCATCATCATCATCATCATCATCATCATCATCATCATCATCTTCATTATCATCCAAATCATCATCATCGAAATCATCATCATCAGCATCATCATTCTCAGCAGCGTCATCAGCATCTTCATCAGCATCAGCATCAGCATCATCATCATCATCACCACCATCATCATCACCACCCCATCATCATCATCATCATCATCATCATCATCATCATCATCAACACCATCATCAGCATCACCATCTGCATCATCATCAGCCGCATAGTCAGCATCATCATCGTCGTCGTCAGCATCAGCAGAATCATCAACGTCATCATCTGCATCAACGTATCATCATCCTGATCATCAGCACCTTAATCAGTATCATGAACATCATCATCATCAACATCCTAATCATCATCATCATCATCATCATCATCATCAGTATCATCATCAAGATCACCCTCCTCATCAGCATTATCCGCATCATCCTCATCATCAGTATCATCATTAGCAGCAGCATCACCAACATCCTCATCCTCAACCGTATTCTGACCCGCATCCTCATCCTTATCCTCATCCTCACCCCCATCCGTATCCTTATCCTCATCCGCATCATCCTCCAACTCCTCCTTCTCATCCTCCTCCTCCTCATCATCATCAGCAGCTGCATCAGCAACAGCATCAGCAGCGTCTTCATCATCATCATAATCCTCATCCTCATCCCCATCCTCATCCTCGTCCTCATCATCATCAGCAGCAGCATCAGCATCAGCATCAACCTCAGCACCAGCATCAGCATCAGCATCATCACCATCACCACCACCACCATCATCAGCATCATCATCAGTATCAGCCGCATTCTCATTACCATCCTCGTACTCATCCTATACCTCATTATCATCCTCGTCCTCATCCTCACCCGCATCCGCATTCGCATCCTCATCCGCATCATCATCCTCGTCCTCCTACTCATGCTGAGCAGCATCTCCATGCAAGTTCACGTGATCCTCAACAGCATCAGCATCATCAGCATCAGCAGCATCATCATAAAAAGCATCAACATCATCATCAAGATCAGCATCCGCATTATCATCCCCATCCGCATCCCCATCCTCATCCGCATCCTCGTCCTCATGATCATGATCATCATCATCGCCAGCAGCATCATAATCAGCATCATCATCAGGAGCAGCAGCATACTCAGCATCATCATCATTATCATCAACACCATCACCAGCCGCATCGGCATAAGCATCACCATCATCAACAATATCAGCATCAGCATCCCCATCAGCATTCGCTTCTGCATCCCCATCCTCGTCCTCATCAGCAGCATCATCAACAGTATCGAGAGCATCCACATCAATATCAACATCATCATCCTCATCCTCATCCTCATCCGCATCCTGATGCTCATCCAACTCCTAATCATCATCCTCATCATCATCCGCATCAGCAGCATCAGCATCAGCATCATACTCAGCTGCGTCAGCATCAGCATCTGCACCATCATCAACATCAGCATCATCATCAACATCATCATCCGCATCACCATCATCACCCGCATCATCATCCTCATCCGCGTCCCCAGTCTCGTCCTCAACATCGTCCTCATCCTCATCCTCATCATCATCAGCAGCATTGGCAGCAGCATTGGCAGCAGCATCAGCAGCACCATCATCATCGACATAATCATCATTACTATCCTCACCGTCATCCTTATCATCATCATCCTCAACATGATCATCATCAGCAGACTCATCATCAACATCAGCATCATCAGCAGCAGCAACAGCACTATCACCATCATCATCATCCTCATCACCATCAGCACCAGCATAATCATCAGCATCAGCATCAGCGTCATCATCAGTATCATCCCCTCCTCAACCTGATTATAAGCCTCATCCCCATCCTCATTCTCAGTCGTACCCTCATCCTCATCATTATCCTCATCCTCATCATTATCCTCATCATCATTATCCGTGCCCTCGTCATCGGCCTCCTCCTCATCATCATCATCATCAGCATCAGCATCAGCATCAGCATCAGCATCATCATCATCATCATCATCAACAACAGCATCATCATCAACATCATAATCATCAGCATCAGAAACATCAGCAGCACCAGCAGCATCAGTATCAATATCATCATCATCATCAGAGGAGGAGGAGGAGGATGAGGAGGAGGAGGAGGAGGGAGGAGGCGGCATAGGCTCGTCGGGCAGGCCAGGTCAGCTTGCGGCAACCCTAGCCCCGCAGCGAAGGATGCGGAATGGGTCCCACCGTTCCTGTCTGGGCATGCCAACGCAACTGGAAGACACATGCTGTCGGAACGAGGGGGGAGACAAAGCGGAACGGCACTATCGACGGGGCAATCTGCAAGGGTGAAATGGCACTAGCCAAGCATGCCAAGCGAAAGGCGTGGGCCCGAGACAATGGGTTTGAGTGGCTTGAGTGCCACCTTCCCCTCATATCCTCATCCTCGTCCACATCCTCCTTGCCGCTACCGTGCAAAGAATTGGCGCACGTGGAAAAAAGGAGGAGGGTTGGGACTGCAAAGAGGTGGGATTGGGAGGAGCGAGAACGAGAATAAGGAGAGGAAGGGGGATAGGGAGGGGGGGGAAGGGGGACAGGAGGAGGGGGAATAGAATTCAAGCGTGCATGCTTGTAAGGGCCCCAAACATCCTACTCCCTCTCTTCCTCTTCTCCGAGACCACGGTGCCTTGTCCATGAAGGCCTGCATAAGCGTCTTGTAGTACGTCGAATCGCCCTTCTTGCACTCCTCGCCAGGTCGCAAGAGGAACAGAAGCAGTGGCCGCTGCGGCCGGCCAGCTGCTACGCTCCGCCTTTCTGCTCACCCACCTAATGCGCATGTTCCTCCTCCTTTTCCTCCTCTTCCTCTCCCTCTTCCCCCTCCTCCCCACTTTCCTTCTACTCTTCCTCTTGCTCCTGCTCCTGCTCCTCTCCTCCTCCTCCTCCTCCTCCTCCTCCTTCTCTTCGTCCTCCTCATCCTGTTCCCTCCTCTCCTCTTCATCCCCATCCTCATTCTGCCCATCCACCCGTTCGTCCTCCTCCTCATACTCCTCCATCCCTTCTCCTTATAAGCAACTCCTCCCTGCTGCGCCCCAAACATGTCGGCAAGGCTGGCTGTGCGTCTTGCCAGAGACGTCCTCACCACTTATGACGCTGAAGCTTGAAAGCTGCAGACATGTCAAATATTCAGGGTGGGTCGTTCTCAAAATGTGACTCTCGCCTCCAGCGCCGCGCGCACTCGCCGTAAAAAATTGAACCCGATTTCAAAATTGAGGGTGGCTGGCTTTCAAAATGTGGTTTTCGCCTTAGCGCCGTGCAGATTCGTCTTCAAAGTTTGCAACAACGTCCAGAATGGAGGGCGGCCCCGTTTCTAAATGGTGCTCTCGACGTAAGGCCGCGCAGCTTCCTCTTAAAACTGTGCAGCGTCCTCGAACTGGAAGACGGGACATACTCAAAATGTGGTTGTCGCCGTTGCGCCGCGCGCATTCACCTTAAAAGCATGCAACTGTCTCAAATATGTAGGACTGCTGTTTTTCAGGATGTAGTTCTCGCCTCAGCGCTGCGCGCATTCGTTTCAAACACTTGCAGAAGGCTCAATGACACAAGTCCCAGGAGTGATGTTCTGGCACAACTTCGGCTTCACAAGGCGCAGCAATATCGTGTATTCACTGTGTATCCGGAGCGCCATGCTGGCAATATTTCAAATTATCAGGACGCACCAACCACGTTGACTCGAGGCTTCAGGTCACAGGAATGATGTTTGGCACGGCCCGCGATTCTGAAAAGGTTGACGTCCAACGGGGCCTTTCACGCAACGGAGGTATCTGTTTGGAGGGGCTTCTGGTCGGGAAACTTGGTGGGGTGATTTTTTTGCAACATCGTTGATGCGTCTTTGGGTTTACACGGGTCCATATCCTCCCCCTCCTCCTCCTCCTCCTCCTCCTCCTGCTCCCCCTCCTCCTCCATATCCTCAACTTCCTCCTCCTCCTCCTGCTGCTCCTCCTCCTCATCAGCATCAGCATCAGCATCAACATCAGCATCATCATCATCAGCACCATCATCATAAGCAGCATCATCATCATACTCGTCATCATCATCATCATCACCATCATCATCATCATCATCATCCTCATCATCATCATTCGCATCATCATCATCATCATCATCATCATCATCATCATCATCATCATCATCATCATCATCATCATCATAATCATCCTTCTCCCCCTCCCCCTCCTCCTCCTCCCCCTTCTCCTCCTCCCCCTCCTCTTCGCCCTCCTCCTCCTCCTCCTTCACCTTTTCCTCCTCCATCCCCTCCTCCTCCTCCTCTTCCTCCTCCCCCTCCTCCTCCTCCTCCCCCTGCTGAATCCGCGGCCCCGGCACCAGTTCCACTTTAGAACTGGCGCCCACCGGGGCCAGGCGTATCGGCCGGAGGTCCACGAAAGAAAAAGGCAAGGGGGTGTGTCCATCCTGGGGGATTTTGTTGACACCCGGGTGGAAGGCCAAAGACCACCCGGGGGCCCGCGACAGGACACACCCCCAAAAGCAATGACAGACAGGGCAGCAGGGAGGAAGGAGGAGGGAGGGGGGGAAAGCGGGGGGGAGCCAGTATCCACGGCGCTGGACGCACGCAGTCTGGGACCAGCCCCTTGGAGGGGCCGGCCCCAGGGGCGGCGAAGCGAAGAGGGAGGGGAGACAAGGAGGATGACGAAGGGAGAGGACGGGGGGCGGGGTCGGCGGTCGCGGGCGCGGGGGAGGCGCTGGTCTCGCGCGGGCAGGCGGTGGCGCTGACCCTCCCCCGCCGGCTGGGGGACCGTCGCTGCTGCTGTCGGCGGCGCAGTGGCGGTGCCTGGCGCTGCGTCGGCGGCGCGGCGTTGCGGGGCCCCCTCAAGCTGAAGGGGCCGGTGGCGAGCAGCAGGGGGAGGCTGCGGGGGGGCCGCCCGCGGCGGCAGGCGCGCCCGTCAGCGCCCGCCGTTGCGGCGCAGGGCGCAGGTAGGTGGCGCGAACCAGGCGACGCTGCCGCTTCAGGCCCCGCGGGCGGCGAGCAGCGCCTCGGCGCTCCCCACCTGGAGGAGGCAGCTGAACTGCTGCCGGGCGTGCCGGAGCACCTCGGCGCGCCCGGCGCCCTCCAAGCCGTGGGCCAAGGAGCGCACGTGAGCGACTGCTGCGTCCCCTGGGCGGCCGCCCGTCTCGAAGACGAGGGGAATCAGCTCGCCGCCTCGAGGTGGGCACCTCTGGCGCTTGGCATCCTCCCGGGTCTGGGCTGCGAGGCCGCCCCGGCCCGAGCGTGCCCGCTGGCGCGACTGCTCGTCGCTGCGCGCGCAGGTGACGCTCGCGTCCAAGTAGACCACGTTCCCCGTGACCGCGTCGCGCGTCGCGACGTCCAGCTTGGTGTTCGGGTCGGTCCGGTTCCAGGCAGGGACAAGCTGTTCTGCGGTGGCTGCGTCGCCCGTGACCCTGCGGTGGTAGCCGGCGCGAAAGTCGCGCAGCGCGTCGTGTCTCCCCGTCCTTTAGGGGCCGCAGGGACATTTCAGCGCGCGTCGCCCTCGTCGGTCCAGCGCGGCGCCACAGACCGCGCCGCCCTGATTGCGGAGCTGGCAGCACTCCCCTGGGTCGCAGATGCCGCAGCGCAGCCGGTCGGCGAGGGCCATGGCGAAGTGGGCGTTCGGGACCTTCGCAGGCGTCTCCCCCTCTTTCACGACAAGGATTTTCAGCCATCCGCCAGCCCCGGGCCCCCCGGCGGAGCGCAGGTCAACTCGGTCGTCCTCCCCCAGCGTCGAGAGCAGTTCGTCGCGCGCCCGCTGTCGCAGCAGCCCGCTCCAGTACCCCTGTTTGCCAGTGTGCGGCTCGTCCAAAAAGCTGGCCCAGTTCACGGCGTCGATGGCGCCGCCGCTCTGCGCCCGCAGCCTCGTTTCCGCTCGCCCAATGGCGTCTGCCACAGCGGGGCAATTGGCCGTGAAGCTCTGCCAGGAGGCTTCACCTAAGCAAGACCGCGCGCTCTTAAGGGTAAAGGCCCAGCTCCCCAAGTACGCCGCCGCGGCCGTTTCCGCGGCCGAGGCCAGGCCAAGCCCTCCGTGCGCGAGCCGGAGAAAGCACTGCGCCTTTTGGCTGGCGCCCAGGGGGCGCCCGACCAAGTCCTCCACTCCGCGGACCATGGCCTCGTCCAGCTGCGTCGTCCAGCCGCCGTCCTCGTACTTGGCCCGCAAGAGGTGGGTGGCGCACCCGTTGCAATAAGTCTGCAGGAGGAGGAAGCTCTCGCGCGTGCCAAGGCCGGCCGACCGAAGCTCACGGAGGCGCGCGACTAGTGTGTCAGCCGCCCGCGCCGCCTCGTCGCCGTCGGCGCGGTCGTGCACCGCGAGGCGCGCGAGCGGGTCCTCGCGGTCCACCCAAGGGGCGGAGGCGCCCAAACAGCGTAAAATAGCCTTCCGGAGGCGGGCGAGCCTCGGGGGCAGCTGCGTCGCCGCGTCTTGTGTCCAGGCCGCCGTCTTGCTTTCGTTGAGGGTGAGTCCAGCAGCTGTCAGCCCCCGCGCAACCACATCAAAGCCCTATTCGGCGACCGAAGCGGGAAGCACCACTATGACACTATGACGTCGTCAAGGCAAGGGAAAGCCCGCGCTGTCGGGGCCAGCTGACGCAGCTGGGCATCGATGGCCACCAGCGGCCCCGCGAGGGCCAGGGCGAGGTAGCCCGGGGAGAGCGGGCAGCCTTGATCCACTCCGCGCGTTGCTCTGACCTCACGCCCTGTGTTGCCAGCGCCCCCAGTAGTGCGTCGTGGGCTGGCACAGCCAACTGGCGGCCGGGCCCAGCAGCCCCGGGGCGCGGGCGGCGACGCCTTCGAGCACCTTCTCCCGCGGCGCCGCGTTGAAGTCATTGCTGGCGTCGAACGCCAAGACCACGTCGGCGGGCGCCTTCGCAGCGAGCGCCGCGATGGCCTTGTGCACTTTCTCGCAGCCCGCCTTTCGCCCCACCGCAAACTGGCAAGGGCCGCAGCCGTCGCGCAATTGGTCCCGGAACGCATAGCAGGCGGCCCTCGCAGCGATCCGTCGTAAGACAGACCCGCAGGCCACAGGGCGGATCTTGCCATTGGGCTTCCGCAGGGCGATCAGCCGTGCCCCCAAGTTCGCCCGCAGGAAGTCGGCCGGGCACTCTCCGAGCAGGAACCGGACGGCCAGCTCCGCCGCTTGGTCGGCCGCCTCGCTGTCCGCCGTGGTTGTCGCCCAGTGCTCGAAGCGGCCGCCGTTGGGGCCTGGTCCAGACCTCGCCGGGTAGCGGTTCAGCTGCCGGCGCGCCGCTGCCACCAGGTCGGCGCGCGTCTCGGGCGTCAGCGGCGCTGGCTGTTGCGGGGGTTGCGCTGGGACCGTTCCTTCGGGGAAGAGAGTCAGGAGCGCCGCATAGACGGCGCTGCCCGCGGCCAGGGCGCCCGCGCTGCGGACAAGCGACAAGGCTTTGCTCACCGGGCCTTCGCGGACCAAGGTGTTGGCGGCCCGCGCCCCCTCTCGCGGGGTCTTGGCCTGCCCGCCCGGCTGCGCTGCATGGCCCCCCGCGGCGGCGGCGCCCCGCCAAAGCGCGCCCCAATCGCCTTTCCACGCGAGGCGCAAGCGAGACGCGATGAGGGGAGACAGCCCCCCACGCTTTTGACCGCGCCGGCGGGGGGTGGCAAGGATGAGGCGGTCGAAAAAAGTGAGCAGCTTGCACGCCTGGTCCTCGGCCACAGCGTCGTCGACGTCACGAGCCATGATGATCTCTTTG